TTAGCAAATTGCACATTGCTGTGTGTCTATGAACTCAAAATGAAAGACGACTCATTTTTTAAAAAATAAATAAATAAATGCCGAACTCTATTACATATGAAATTGTTCGAATGAACACCGGATTTGCAAAAACATAAAATGGAATAGATATTATTGTCATTTTTTTTCTTCTTTTTTTTACCTAAATTTCAGAATTTCCGAAATTATTTTCAGGGTTCTTGGAGCAGTATAAAACCTTGATTTTCTCCGGAAATTTCGAAGATTGACCATGAAGATGCTTCTCGTCAGTGGCGTGGCGTGCTTTTTGCGATATATCGATTGTTATGCCATTTAAACCTATGGAAAAGGATCGATAAACAGGGTGTTCGCAATGAACACCTTAATAATCGATTCTTTACCGTACGTTTAAATGGCAAAACAGTCGATATATCGCAATTCACGCCACGCCACTGCTTCTCGTGTAATATATTTATTGTTAGTGCCAAATTCGTGCACTACCCATGGCCTCAGTGAAATAGTTAAAGATTTGATAGCGAATTACCGATCTCTGCCCTACTTTTATGAGGCTGTGTTAACATTGTGGCAGTTCGTAAACAAAAACACGGAGCTTTTCTAATCGGCCTAAATTAGAGTACCTATAAAGAAAGAGTATGGACAACTCGAATTATGTAGCTCTTAGGGCTCAAAAGGGTAGGTAACCGTTGAAAACGAAAAATGTCACTATCAATCTTTAGACTCTAATATCAAACGAAAATGGACAAGAAAATTCAAAAGTAAGTATTCTTCCGCAAAAATGAGTGAGTTTATGCAAAAACCAAGTCAAATACGTGCTTTACCAACGACAGTTCCCAACAATTGTGATTATAAATCACTCTGGATGATTTCAATTCTTAGATTGCCTACCCTTTTGGGGTCTAAGAACTCCATAACCTAACCTCAAAATTTTCGACATGTCCATACTCTCCCTATATAGGTACTCTAGCCTAAATCTTCAGGAGGGATGTCTCCATTTTCATGCTTCAGGAGCCCACAGCGCGCCGACGGGAAATCCAGCGGACCCCCCGAAAAATAGCTGCTAATTAAACAGGGAGAAACTTACTCCGGACGGACAAAAGCCGCAAACCAGGGTTAAAGGAGAGGGGCACTCCGTTTAAAACGCGAAAATCCCTTTCCAGATCATCCTTCCTGGCTCCCTATCCGGTTGCTCGCTTCCATTCCGGCTGGTTGAGTTTGATTCCTGCCCAGTTTGCCACGTCACTTTTTTAAAAGCCATTATCAATTTACTCAATTTTTTTTTTTTTTTAACTGGAAAAAAAACCGCTTGAATCTAGAGTCCAAACTCTTGAAAACAATGCCAAGAAAAATTACTTCTGATTCATTCGGATTTTTGCTTTAATCAAGAGCCCAGCCTCTTAAATTAAGCGGATTTCCTTTCGATTCAAGCAAAAATCCGATTGATTCGATTCAAGTAAAAATCCGATTGAATCAAGAGTATTTTTTCTTGTCATTGTTTTCAAGAGTCTGGACTCTATATCCAAGCGGTTTTTTACCAGTGTAATTAAGTGGAAGACCTTTCATACAACACTCTCCGGCTTAAAAGAAGAACTTAGATCGTGTTTAACTAAAATCAGATTCTAACCGGAGAAAAATGTTTGAAATATGATCTAATTTTGGAATTTTTTCATTCTTAGATATTTTATTAACTCCTTCCCTGATTCTCCCGGAAAAATGTTCTGATGAAAACCCGCGTTTTCCTCTCATTTCTATCTAGATTTTCTTAGAAAATACAAAAAGTTTCTTCAAAGTTTGGAGGAGAAAGGGGTCAAAATTTTCACCTTTCGTCTTATTTCTTTAAGACCGAGTCAAGAATTAACATTAATTTTATTTTAAGAGAATTTGATTTTGGTGTTAAAATAGAAGAAATCCCCGGTTTCCCGATTCCCATACTGATTCTCTAGATTCTCGTTTCCCTGATAAACCCCAGGTTTCTCCGGTTTTTTCAGGTTCTATACACCAAAATTTTCAGTTTCATTCCTCCATAAGTCTTACTGCTATAAGAGATGAAGTAGAAAGCGTATTCTCGCAGTGAAAATATTTGTTCTCAATTTTGATTTTTTTTTCACAAGAGAAAATACGCTGTCAGTTCAACTAAAAAGTACGTCTAACTCAATTTTCTTCAAAATGTAACTTGTCTCCTTCCTGTATAGCGCAGGCAGATTTTTGGAAAATTGTACGGACAGCTTTCCGTATTTAAACTACCTACATCCATAAACTTCAGATTGTTCCGCATGATACGATCACTTGGAGACAAGACAAGAACGAAACAGCATTGGAAAAATGTTGCATCTTTCAAATCTTCCTACGAACAAATTTCTTAGTGATGCATAAAATGCGAGATCGCAAATTCTTCTACGCTTGCAGGACCTCTCAGGAACTGGAGAGCTTGTATTGTCCTTTTCTGTTTTTTCTTTCTGTTCACAATTTCAAGCATTTCCTTCATTTGCAATCGCTATTATCCATATCAGACTGGAACAGGACCTTTCTCTCGCAGTTCCGTTTATCGTACGGATGAAAAAATTTGGTGGCTTTATATTTCTCATCAATTATCATCCTACGAGAACTTGAGATCAAAAATTTCCTCTTCCTACTTCTTCTTTCGAAAAACGAACTCATGAGATTGGTGGTAATTTCATTGAACTGTATACTATTGATCGAACTTAAGTCACGGGGCACGACACGTAAAAATTCACCACGTCATTCGTAAAGTTGTATACCTCAATGAGACACAATGTTGGGGACAAAGTTTGACGATTACTTTCCAGCTCAAAATATATACTCAACTTTGAATTCTGGATAGGAGAACGACTAGTTGTATTCCAAACTACTCCCAACTCTTTTTCTCCCAAATCGCATTTTGGCAGTGCTCCCATTTCCCGGAACCAGTACCAAATTCCGGAACTATTGAGATTTTCGTGAATTTTGCCCGGATCTTTCAAAATTCCCTAAATGTTCCGGATTTTTGCATTTTTTGGAACTTTCTCGGAACTTTTGAAAAAATCTAAAAAAATCCCGGATCTTTCGAAATTCCCAAAATGTTCCGGATTTTTGCATTTCCCGGAACTGTCTCCGAACTTTTGAAAAAATTTAAAAAAATCCCGGATCTTTCAAAATTCCCAAAATGTTCCGGATTTTTGCATTTCCCGGAACTGTCTCCGAACTTTTGAAAAAATCTAAAAAAAATCCCGGAACTTTCGACAGTCATGGAGTGGGAGAAATTGGAACAAGAAAGTTCCGAATCCAGGATCATAGAATGGGAGCACTGCATTTTTGGGAGTTTCTGTTAAACTCGGCTCATTTCTTGAATATCGATAACGCCTGGATTGACTCGAAACGTAGCGGATTTTTATCGCGACTTGGCAGAGCTAATCCGCGCCGGGCTCGGATTTCAATCAAGACGGGCCGCGAACAAAAAACAACGGGGACAGGGGTGCCGCTCAATGGAGGGACGATCTGATCAATGGGCAAGGTCATTGATTGAGTTGCCGCCCCCGACGGCCCCGGCCCAGGGCTGTAATTAAGCTGATCGCTGGCTGTCTGATTAGACACGACCAATACCATGGCCCTTGATGACAGGGATAGACAGCCCACCCCTTCCCCGTCCCCGCCGTCCCGTGGGAGCTTCCGTTGATTAATTTAATGGGAAAACAATAATTCAGCGGAATCCGGGGGCGAATAAAATATGGTCCGATTCGCGGGCACGAAAATGCGGGTCGAATCCCTCTCTCCTCTTCTGCGTGCGGGGATCGCGTGTCGATCAGAACTCGCAGATTTATCGTCGTTTTGGTTTTCATCGCCTCTTGAATTATCTTTTCCCCCTCCCGTCACGGTGATCCCTCTGAGAACGCGAGAGGGTACACTATTAAAAATCTAGGAGTGATATCCAGGAGCCCGCACTGGAAAAAAGAAAACACATTGGATCTAGGGTCCAGACTCTTAAAAACATCGACAAGAAAAAGTACTCTTGATTCAATCAGAATCTAGCTTAAATCAAGAACCAAGCCTCTTAATTTGAGCGGATTTCCTTTTGATTTAAGCTTAAATCTGATCGAATCAAGAGTATTTTTTCTTGTCAATGTTTTCAAGAGTCTGGACTCTAGATCCAATGTGTTTTTTTTTGTTTTTCAGTGCGTTTTGTCCACTGCGGACTGATTATTGGAATTGATAGACAAAGCAATGGACAAAGAAGACTTGTGGAAGAAAAAAATGTAAAAGAAACGTATGGAGAAAGCAAACAAAGAAGACGTATGGAGCGCTCCTGTTGGTTGAAAGGTGCGGTTCTTTTGGACTAAGGGGGAAATGATGGACTGACAGTAGGGTCTCTTGTCGGTTGCCGTTAGTTAGTCTATTATTTACTTTATTTGTCCATTGCAACCACCATCTTCTGCCAATAGGATCCCTCCAAATCCCCTCTGTCTTCTTAGTCTATATCTGTGTCTGTCAATGGCAATAATCAGCCCGCAGTGGGCTAATTTTTGAAATTGATAGAGAAAGTTATAAAGAAAGAGGACGAAGGCTACACAGAGCAAACACATTAACGGAAGCGGGTGAGTGCAATTGACAGGAGGGGGGAGATACGTAATAGCCTAACTAACGGCTACCCCGACAAGAGGTACTATGTATAGAATGTCCATCATTTTACCCCTTGGTCTAAAACAACTCACTGTTTCAACCGATGAATCCCGACATTTTCTCTTCGTCTCCTTTGTACAGCTTTGTCCATCCATTTCAATAATCAGCTTGCAGAAGACTCAAATGATATGCGAGTGCATGGTGGATTCTATTTTTTGTGTGGGAGGAATTCCGCAATAACAGCGGGTTAATTATTGAAATCGATAGAAAAAGCTATAGACAAAGGAGACATGGTTCAATAATTTGAAGGAAATTCACGATGAAACATGAGAAGAAAAATCAAGAACCCAGAAGTGAAGTCATTAACTCACCCGTCGACATGAGCTGGACAATGGTGGCGGTGGGTTCGGGTTGGCTGGCGAGTCGTGAGGCACGTTGCCGAAAATATTGTTGGCCTGGAAAAAAAATAAAATAAAACTGAGTGTTAGTAATAATGACGGGGGAACACGCAAAAACTTTGAATGCATACATAACGCAAGCAAAACATAAGCGCAGGACTTCCGCCGGTACGGACTTCCATCGGGCTGAAAACACTCGAATACGGAATTTTCTCAACACGGAACGAGTGAGTGCTTCTCAAATGAGAGTGGTACTTATGATGAAAGTGGGGTTTATGTGGTTAAAAGTTCCACGTTTCCATTGTTGCCAAAAAGCGCGAGGAAAATCATCTTTCTCCTCCTTAAACCTGTGTATGGAATGTCCACATTGGTCACACAGTCCGACAATGGTTGAAAGTTTCAGGTTTTTAGAAAAAAACCTCCATGCCTCGACCAATTTTATTTCCACGAAAAAAACTAATATTTGAATCGGAAAATGTGTCACAAAAGGAGAGACGTTATCACCACAAAAGGAACTCTCATTCGACCATTCTTCTCAACGCGATGACCTGCTTCTTGGACGCAACAAGTAACTTTCTCACTCTAACGGCAAAGTGCTAAAAAAAACCAATTATTTTGACATACAGATCATTTTCTCATTGCGCGACAAACCGACATGTTAAAATACAACTTTAGGCCTTTTAAAGTACATAAATAAGCTAAGTTATGTTACTAGTTCTACGGCATACACTTATACAGGATGGTTAAATCTGCCGGATACTTGAAGGTCGATTTTTGGTCATGAAGCGACGAAAATCTCTCTCCTTGAAAATTCATTTGTGTGTAATGAGGTCTCTTTTCTTTAGGGCCGTAACACATGCGTATTTAGTAAAAATGAGTCTTCGAACAGAACTATTGTACAAGTCAAAGATCTATTGTTGATGTCGTTGGCGAACAGTACTACCTGACAACAGTAACGTGGTGCGAACTAACAGGGTTCATAAGAGCATGTAGGGACACTTTTGAGGGTTTGGAAACAGGTTTGCGACTATGGAATAATTTTGGGTCTTGTGGCTATGGCCTCAAAAAAGGAGGTAAAATTGGGATTCTGAGGTTAGACATTGAGTGCTACATTCAAAAAATAAATTGACAGGCAAGCGTATTTGTTTTATTTATCATGAAGAAAACGTACAGTCAAATCAAATAAATTCATCACAACCAGAGATAATTTCTTTAAAAACGATGAAGACAATGCTTGAAAAATTGAGCTACAAAATACGACAAATTAACAAAATTTTCATTGCGAGAATCGTTATTCACACGATAAATTACGGAGGACACATTTGACTTGGAGCTTAACTTAGTATCCCCTTTATACCGTGTCGCAGAACACATCCGCTGAAATCGACCGAAGGCAAAGAAGCAACAAAATAATTTCATTCGTGACACATCGCGGATTTCAGCGCGGAGGATTTCGCCCCTGAGCCAAAGTTGGCGCTCGTTGGCTCCGATATGTTCAGCGGCGAAAAAAGAAAGCCTTCATTTCCTCCGACGGAGAGTAAAATATGGCTGCACATTTTTAATGAGACATAAAAAAGTTCCGTGATTCCGTAACAGGTATAAATTTCCACGGTTTCCTGAGACACTCCTTACGGGAGACGGAGGGGAAGTTGCAATTCTTCGCGAGGAGAGAGACATCGCGGGGAGCGGGAAGGGCGTGCATTTAATCACGTTTTCGACGGCGAGCTTGGCTTGCATCAACTCTCTGAGGCGTTGCCCCGCAACTGTTGTGGCATTACGGCATGCGAGTTGCATTTCCGGGGCATGAAGGCGCTGCAGCACAATTCGTGGGGAAGTTAGTTCATCAGAGAAACATTTTTGCACAGGAACACTCATTGCATTTGCTCCTGGCGGATCGTGTTGAATTAACAATTTCGCTCCGCGGCCGGTGTTGTCACGATCGAGCTTAGCTTTTTTCCTATCCCCCAGCTGAACGGTAATTGCTTTGCAACTCGGAAACAAAATGAACCGCACTCAATCGTCGCAGTCGCCGAGTTTCCCAAGAAACGAGAATCTGCCTGTTGGTAGGTACTCAGAGTGTCTACTAGAATTCAATTTTTGATTTTCCTGATGTTTTCCTAATATGTTAGACGAGATTTTTTCACCTTCCGGCCAAAGTATCACAAGCGCTATGCGACGTTTAAAAATTTCCTCCGCCATTTTATTTTTTCACAGATAAATTGTGCAACGAAACTGTCCGAAAAATTCACTGAATTTTCTTTGTGCTGCCGATTAAATTCAGTTTTAACCAATAATTTTTCGGTAAAATATAAAATGGCAACGGAAATATCCGGCATCCATTTCAATACATGCCTTTTTTTTCGAATGATGTAAAAATAATTAGATAAGAAATTTTGAGCCACCGCTACTAAAATGGGTATTGCGTACGTTCACATTACAAGCTCTAATATTTCACTGAGTCTATTCATCACGATCAAGATGTGACCTTCATTTTCTATTTAGTTGTTCTTTTCGATGGAAATAAGTTGGGAAAGAAAATCGGTTCAGCCCTTCTTTCCTTTTACATGTAGACGACCGGCTGCATTCAATACACTGAAAGGGCTTTGTGGCTTCGACTCCGATACATCCTGAACAATGGATAAAATATCTCAACTTGGTTCCGGAGGACTTAGGTCTAAGGTCTACGGCATTTCCGGAATCGAACTTGGCAACAAAGGCACTTTGATTCATAGCAACGGATTCCTGTTTGTCATTCCAGCTTTTTAAGTTTCAAGTTTTTTTAATCTTCTTAGCCTCCACCTTTGCAAACGAGGCTTGCAAGTAAAGGAGATGAACATTTCCAAGCGGAAGCAAGCGGTTAGACGCGGAATGAGTAAACAAATAAATAACAGGAAAACTTTTGTGATTTGCCGTGATACAACAAGGCTGTTCCCAGCGGCGACATAAAGGAGCAGCCGTTTCGCAATCAGCATTTTGATGGAGTACGTGCAAAAAATATTCTTATCGATTTGAGGTGTTGCAAACATGGTTACCAACTTTTAAATATTCATCTGATTGCCCTTAAAGTAAAGAGGAGGAAGAAGGGGAATTCGTCCCATTTTTTTTCTTTACTTCACTGCGAATGTAAAATCGTAGTTCTCAACGGACATCTCTTCTGCACAGCTAAGCTAAGGAAAACGCCGTGATCATTCAAATGTTGCCAACTTTTTATCGATTAAATAATTCTTTTTGAGAAAAATTATGATGACCTTGGATAAGTCTGCTGATTCTTAAGTAAAGGTTGCATTTTCACGAAGTAAAGTTAACTGTGCGGGTAGTCAAGCAAACATCTAATTAACACCATGCAGAGACCGGACACATTTTTGACATTAAAATTCAGGATGCTACCTTAGCATCTTATAATTGGACCGCGCTAAGCAGAGAGGAACTAGGCCACATCAGCTATTGCCAAATTTAATTGGGCAATTTCATTTTTCACATGAAAACGGTTGTGCGGATTCGTTTGCAAATTTCAGTGAATTTTCTGCACAGCACGAATCAAATTCCTTAAAATTTTCAAAGGAATTCGCTTAAACGTTCTCTTGTAAAACATTAAATTGCCTAGGTAACTTTGGCAGTAGCTGATAGGGCTTCGTTTCTTTCTGCTGAACGCAGAATAATTCCGATTATGGAATTGGAATTTACGGAATTTTAGTCGTGCTACGCAGAAAAGGCTTGATTAAGTTCATCCTAGCTTCGGCTGTGTTGTTAACATAGCCGTAGAAGCATCACGATAAATAAGACAAATGGAACTAACACAACATTGAAATAGAGAAAGGGAAAGGTCGCGCATTGATGACGGCGCAGAGATACAACTATTCGTACTTGATGGATGCCCGTGTTGCATCTCCAAAATTGAAGGCGCGATGCCGCGAGGCGTGAACAAGCGTGTTCCTTTCTGCTGAACGCAGAATAATTCCGATTAAGGAATTGGAATTTAAGGAATTTGATTCGCGCTACGCGTAAAATTCACTGAAATTTGCAAACTAACCAGCACAACCGTTTTCATATGAAAAATGAAAAATTCTAATTTCCGTGGAATGTTCCGCGGAAAATGGGAGAGAGGAGGAGAAAAAAATTAAATTTTTATTCGACAAGCCGGCGGGATCATACTTTTTCTTGAGAGGAATTTGACGCGAGAAGCTTACAACACTAGCGTCGAGGAGGTGACGACCTAATTGACTCGGGAAATAATCTCTCGCGTAAGTGAAAGCTCAGATAAGCTCTCTAAGTTCGCCCTACTTTCGAGCGGGGGCGAAAATCCCGAAAACACTTCGCAAAGCCGGCCTCACACCGGCGCCCAGCACTTCTTCAAAGGCGAACGCACTGCGCAAAGAGCGCGGCGCAACTAGTTAATTTCCTTTCATTAACGAGCATTCTAACTCCTTCTGCCGCGCTAACTCTAAAACCGCGTAACGCAGTCGGGGAATCCGTTGAAGTTGCGTGCATTGCGCCGGGAGGGTGAGACCCCAGGAATGTGGAGCGACGGAGCGAAAATTAATAAACAAACAAAGCGGAATGTGACATAAACGCGCTCCGAGGGACCTCCGAACAGTTGCGAGGAGTGGGAAGATTAAAAAAGAATGAAAAGGAAGTGGAGTAATTATTGAAGTGTCTGAAACACCAAGTTCGCGCTTCTGTTTGCGCTGGGTCCCGCGAATCTTTCGGTGGAAAGCCTCCGCGGCGTTGCCATACTGTACCCAAAATTTGCATGATACGGTGCGGTTACTGAAATAGCGGTAAATCTTACAGGGTGTCTACTATATAATAGGCTGGCCAAAAATCAGTACTTTTACCAGTGCTACAATTCTATGTCCGTCAAAAGTTCCGGGACTCGGAACTTTTTTGTTCCAATTTCTCCCATTCCACGACGGTCAAAATTTCCGGGGTTCTTTTAAGATTTAATCAAAAGTTCCGAGAGAGTTCCAGAAAATGCAAAAGATCCGGAACATTGCGGGCATTTTAGAAGTTCCGGGAAAAATTCAGGAGAATCTCAAAAGTTCCGAAAGTAGGAACTA